TTTTCTGGGAAATGCCAGAGGCCGGCCGGGCCTGGAATGTCAGGCTTGAAAGAACTCCGCTGCGCAGACTTCCGAGCCGCAAACCTTTTCATTAGCTCTGCGGCCCTTCTGGGCGGAACAAAGGCCTGCAAACTGGAATGCCGCTTCCTGGTGGTGAGCCATTGTCCTGGCCTCGCCGCGCCCCCCTGCCTGCCTGCCTGCCTGCCTGCCGGGACTGGACTGTCGGAGGCAGGAAAGAGAGAGGTTAGGGTCAGCCTGCTCTGTGACCTCTCCCCACAAACACCTACTCCTGCCCTGCATCTGTCCCCTCTGCCACAGCTGCTGCCAACGTGCCCAGTCCCCACCCTCAGGCCCGGTGGGTAGGCGCTTCAGCGGAGAGCGCCCTGCTGCCCCCAGGAAGCCACACAGGGGCAGCTGGGGCACGGGGCTTCCCAGAGGTCAGGGGAGGCTCAGCCCCTTGCATCACCTCCACGGGGGCCTGGAGAAAGGGGGGCAGCAGAGGGAGGCTTCCCTGCCTCCCAGGCCTCCCCTCCAACCACCATCAGTACAGGAGAGGCTCTGGAGGGAAGGAAGCAGACTCTTCTCTCCATCACGGTATCTGCAGGCCTTGCCAACTAACCAGCACAATCAATGTGAAGTGAGTAACAACAGGCCACTGGGCAGTCAAACCCAGGCTGCCTCCTTGTGCCAAAGAAAGCCCACCTTGGAGGCCTTGGGCTTGGCCTTGAGCAACTCTGTGGTCTGGGGCCAGCCTCTCAACCCATCTGGCGGCACTGGCAGCCGCCGAACAATGGTGACCTTAGCGCCCGCCCCCGGGGCCAGCCGGAGGACAGGAGACCCTTCCTGCAAGCATGGGACCTTAATTCATGTAGCTGTGCATTGCTTCCCGTGACCAGCCCGGGCACCCAGCTTCCCATCCCTGAGGTCTGGGGAAGAGCTCATGGTCTGTCACACACCATGAGTAAGTGGCGTCCCACAGCTGAAACCGCTGTGTACTTCCCCTCCACCGAGAATGAACCTTTGTTATCTTTATGACCAAGCTCCTTTGCCTGGAAATGGGATTCTGACTTCATAGAAATTCTGCACAGGGAGGGACTAGGAAAAGGGGGGGTCTTCTGAATCCCTTCATCAGGAAAACAGCAGAGCGGGGCCAAGGGGACAGGCCTGGACAGCGCCCTCTCCCCTCGAGCCCCCAGCAGACAGGGGTGGCGAGAGACAGACGGCCCGCTCTGGCTTGGGCACCTCGCTTGCCTGGAAGTGGGCCCCCTCCCCCACCATCCCGGCAACAGTGAGTCCTCACTCCCTTTGTCTTCAGGTGCACGGCCCACTAATCTCCACCAGTCCACACACCCACCCTCTAATCCACCCGCACGGCTGCCCCGCAGCCGTGCCCGGAGAAGCCAAGAGCTATTCCAGAGGGAGGCAGCGGGTGGGGTCTGACAGCAATGGAGAAGATCACCGTGAATAAGCCCAGCCCCTCCGTTAAACAGCCGCGGAGCACTTTCTGCATGCTGAACTCCAGGCTTACCAAGGAAACCTCCCCCGCTGGGCAAGGCATCAGAGCATGTTGGTCAGGGTGGAAGGAGCTACCCTGAAAGTTTAGAGTCATAAGTGCCAGATCTTTTCTTTTTTTCTTAATAATGATTTTTTATTGTTATTTTATTATTTATTTTTATTCTCACCCGAGAACATGCTTATTGATTTTTAGAGAGAGGGGAAGGGAGGGCGAGAGAACAGCGATGTGAGAGAGAAACATCGATCAGTTGCCTCTCCTACACACCCCGACATGGGACAAACTCGAAACCCAGGCACGTGCTCTGACAGGGAATCGAACCTGTGCCCTTTTGGCGGACGGTGCTCCAACCAACCGAGCCATGCCAGCCAGGGCTTAAGTGCCAAACCTTAAAGGGAAAGTAGAAATTAGCCAAAGCGCGGAAAATAAGTACACCCAGTGGGATGCCAATGTGTGAAGACCCTGGAGATACATATGCCTCCCAAACCGAACGCCTTTGACGGCCACATCCGTCCTCTAGCAGCCCAAGCTGCCCTCTTTCCACAAAGACTCCCCGGGCTTTCAAAGGAAGTCTCGATAACATGCACGGAGCACTTAATATGTGCAAGGCACTGCTCTAGTCATTTTGCACGCATTAGTTCGCTTAATCCTCATAACTAGTGGATAAGGCAGGTACGATCATCAGCCCATTTTACGAGGAAGGAAATCGAGGCACAGCGGGGGGTGGGGTGGGGAGTAAGCTGCCCAAAGCCATTCAGCTGCTGGGGGTGGGGCCGGGCTGGCAGTTCAGCGGCCTGAGTGAGAGTGCAGGGAGCCCAGCCCACCTTCCCGCTGCACATTCCGGCCTTCCCAGCCAGGGCAGCCCCTTCTGGGGGTCTGGGCATGTCTACCGCCCTTCCTCTCCGCTCTCCAAACCATGCCCTCACTCTTGGCCCACCTGCACCTCCCTGCCAGCCCGCAGCCTTTGTTGCTGGCCCTCTGCGGAGCCTGGGCTCACCCGTCTCAGAGGCCTCTCCAACCAGAGTGGACCTCCCGGAGCTGCAGGGGGGTTTCTTCCTCTTTATCTTCCCCCCTTCAGCCTCCCCTCCCCCAGAGGGAACTCTCACAGTGTCACGGGATTGTAATCACACCGACCCTTTTCTCACGGCACTCGTCACCTGGCGGGGGTGGGGAGGCGCAGCCAGCCCCACGCCTCCTGCCTCCCTACAGGACTCACCCGCCCTCTGTCTTCCCAGCACCTCGCCCCGTGCCTGCCAAAGGCAGGCGCTCAGTGAGGGTTTGCGGATGGATGAATGAACCTGACTTGTGTCAGAGCATTATAATTTACAAAGCACTTTCTCATCCATTAACTCAAGGGCTATTCCTTGCGAGTCTTCCTTGTCCCCCGCGAGGCTCAGCGCAGAAGTGTACAGTTATGGCGCAGCCTCCTACTAATCAATGACTGAGAAAAAAGAACGGCCTCCTGGTTTGTGCCGGAGAAGAATCCACTCCCTCGGCCCGCAAGCATCTTGAGGGCAAAGACTGGGTCTCGCTCGCCCTTACAGCTCGATGCCTACGCAATGCCTGCTGCACAGAGCCCGCTTTTGGGCGATGCGTTGACTAAATCAATGCCCCCTCCCCCCCCACCCCTGCTGCCTAGAGGTAACAAGAAGACTCCTTGCTACGGCGGGCGCTCTCACAGAACCAGGAGGCGGAGTTGCACTGGCTCGTTTCTATTTCTAGCACACTTTGATGGGAAAAGGTTACTATTACTGCTTAGCATATAGCAAAACAATCTCAGAGTGCCTGGGTGTCCTGCCCAAATCTCACGTAGTCCCCCCGACATCTGTGGGGGCGAGAGATGGCACAGATTAAAGACACAGTGGCCAAGGCTGTGAGGTCCCATGGGCTCCCCCAGAAACAAAGGTCTCCACATTCTATACTCCTAGGTTGTCCTGTGTTGGAGGCATCTCTCCTTCCCCACCCCAACCCCGACTTATTGGCTTCAGACATGTGGCATCAGGAAAGAGGACAGAGCCCAAAGCCCACAACCCCTGTGTCCTGAGAGGTGATAACCCAATGTCACTTAAGTTGGTTCTTAGATGCCTCCAGCCCCCCACTGGTTGTTTGGAGACAGATTGCAAAGCCTTCCATCCCTCATAAAGCTGGCCCTCGTTAGCTCTGACCACCCATACTCACAAGGGACCCCGGGATCTCAGCCCTGGGAGAGATCGGAGCCCACACTGAGAGGCGGGCAAGGGCACATTCTAGGCTGCGTTGGGCCATCCCAAAGCGGGCCCAACCCCTGAAAACTGGCTCTGAAACTTCTTCCCTGCTGGGCTTTAATTCCCGGGTCTAATTCCAGACGGTGATGTGTGATTCCCTTCGGCGTCCCATCAGGTCCCGCGCCCCAGCTCCTGAGCCGGCCTCCCGGTACAGTGGTGGGGGAGACCCCCTCCGGTTTTCCCTCCTGGGCTTCGGGGAGCTGCGCCGAGCTCCACTCTACCTACGAGACCCCAGGGCGCCCTCTGGCGGACACGCGGCGCGGGGTGCGGCCAGCACACCCTCGGGCCAGTCCGGTCGCAAAAGAGCGAGCCCTCGGCGGGACCTCTGTGGCACCACGCGGGTGTGGAGACCAAGACGCGTGAAAGCGGTTGTTGTCTGTTTGTGTTTGGAGGTGGGAGGCGGCACCGTCGTCAGCACGGGAAGAGAACTGGCAGCGGGCCCGGGGCTGAGGCTGAACAGCTGCCACGCACGCCGCGTCCCCTCCACCCCTGGGACTCAAGCTTCGCTTCGGGAACATGTCCACAGGTGACTCTCGCGCGCCCCCACCCCCTCGGGCTCGCGGATGCGGCCCCAGCGCCGCGGCCGCGCTTCGGGTGTCCCCAGTTCCCTTGCGGCAGGCCGAGACCTCCTGGGGCTGCGACCGGGACCTCGGGCGCGCTGGGGAAGGGCGAGGGGGTGTCCCCGCGGGGTCCGAGAAGGGACGGGGAGCCGGGAGCCTCTCCCGCTCGGCCTCCTGGAACTGCCCGAGCTCCCGGCGCTGCACCCCCGCCTCTGCCAGAAACTCGCCTTCTTAGAAGGGAGGGGGGAAAGTGTGAATGAGAAGTTGGGGGCGGAGCGCGCGGCGGGGAGGGGCCGCTGCCAGGAACGCGCCGCCAGCGCTGGCGCCGCGCCCGCCGGCCGTCCCGGCCGCTAGCGTCGCGCTTTGTCTCTGCGCGCGTCTCTGCCGGTCCCTGGCGCGGCCGCGGCCCGCCCTCGGCCCGCGGCCCCTCCCCGCCCTCCGCTCGCAGCCTTTCATTGCTGCGAGTAGTGACTAAACATTACAAGAAGGCCGGCCACGCAGTTCCAGGAATCGGGGGGGCGGGGCGCGGCGGCCGCGTATATACTCGCGAGCGCGGCCTCCGCGGCGGCTCCGAGTCGGACTCTCCGCGCTGCCGTCGCCACCGCCGCGACCCCGGCTCACACGCCTCCCGCCGCGGCTCGCTCCGCGGCCCCTCGCCTCTCCCCGGCCCGGTCGGCCCGCGGGTGCCCAGGGGGCCGGGCGGGCGCCCCGGCGGAGCCCGAGGGACGCACGCGCGAGGGCCCCTTTGTGGACTTCACCGCCGCCAACATCTGGGCGCAGCGCGGGCCACCGCTGTCTGTCGCGCCGCCGCCTCGCCTTGGGGACCGGAGAAGGCGCAGCCCCAAGGCCGGAGACTTCAGTTTGGGATCAGGTAAGAAGGAGGGGCGCGGTGCAGAGGGGGTGGCCCTTGCTAGTCCCGGGAGCTTTTCCCGGTTTCCCCTCCCTTTCCCGGGTCTTTCCCGGCAGGGAGGGGACGAGGTAGAAGGCTGAGCGGATGGAAGTCGGAAATCCCAGGTTCCCGGAATACCCGGGCTGGGGCCCGCGGGCTTCTCCTGCCCTCCCCCCGCGTACCTACACCTCCCCCCTCGGTCAATGCCTCAGATTCCTTTCTCTGTCCCCACCGCCCTGAGCCACCGGACTGAGCGGCGCCCAGAGCGTCCCGGGGGCCCTTTTCTGCTCCCCACCCCGGCCACGCTCCTGGAGACCCAACTTCCGCGCCCGAGTTTCCCACTCGGCGCCCTGCCAGTGCGCGCTGGGGAAGGGGCTGCCCGCGGCACCTCCGCCGGCGTGCACGGGGGCTGGACGGGCTCCGCGGGGCGCCTGGGTCGGAACGAGGGCCAGTCGAGGAGGCCCGGGGCAGTGCGTGCCCCGGCCGCTCGGCAGAGGCAGGGGAGCCGGGGCGGGCCGGCGCGCTGGAGGGTTCCGGGCACTCATGCGGCGCGCGCCTTCTTCCCTACAGCCCCCCGTGATGCGGTAGCGGCCGCTGTGCGGAGGCCGCCGAGCAGCTGCAGCCGCCCCCGCGCAGATCCACGCTGGCTCCGTGCGCCATGGTCACCCACAGCAAGTTTCCCGCCGCCGGGATGAGCCGCCCCCTGGACACCAGCCTGCGCCTCAAGACCTTCAGCTCCAAGAGCGAGTACCAGCTGGTGGTGAACGCAGTGCGCAAGCTGCAGGAGAGCGGCTTCTACTGGAGCGCCGTGACGGGCGGCGAGGCGAACCTGCTGCTCAGTGCCGAGCCCGCCGGCACCTTCCTCATCCGCGACAGCTCGGACCAGCGCCACTTCTTCACGCTCAGCGTCAAGACCCAGTCGGGGACCAAGAACCTGCGCATCCAGTGCGAGGGGGGCAGCTTCTCTCTGCAGAGCGACCCCCGGAGCACGCAGCCCGTGCCCCGCTTCGACTGCGTGCTCAAGCTGGTGCATCACTACATGCCGCCCCCGGGCGCCCCCTCCTGCCCCTCGCCGCCGACTGAACCCTCCTCCTCGCCCGCCTCTGAGGTGCCAGAACAGCCGCCCGCCCAGCCACTCCCGGGGAGCCCCCCCAGGAGAACCTATTATATCTATTCGGGGGGCGAGAAGATCCCGCTGGTGTTGAGCAGGCCCCTCTCCTCCAACGTGGCCACTCTGCAACACCTCTGTCGGAAGACCGTGAACGGCCACCTGGACTCCTATGAGAAAGTCACCCAGCTGCCTGGACCCATTCGGGAGTTTCTGGACCAGTACGATGCTCCACTTTAAAGAGCAAAGGGCAAGGGTCGGGGGCGAGGCCTGGGTCTCCTCTCCTCCGAGGCACATGGCACAAGCACAAGAATCCAGCCGGGAGAGCCCTGCAGCTCTGGGTGAGCCGGAGGATGGACAGGCCCCGCCCTCGGGCCCTGCCCCCTGCCGACAGGGGCAGGCCGAACTTGGAATGTGTGTGAGGGAAGGGGAGTGCCACCTGAGAGCTCCTCCCCCACTCCAGACTCTCCGGAGGAGCCAGGTGGCCCGACGGGACCACAGCTGCAGTGGATTGATCTCCTCTCCCCTCTGCTTCCTCGACTCCCGTGCACTTCCAGAACAGGGACGCTGCCGGAGTGCTGAACTCGTGAGAACTGCCGGGGAATCTGCAAACTTTCCAGCGGAACTTGTTTGCGCTTTCATTTGGTTTTAAACATGGCTTTAACCCTGAGCAAGCCTCAGGCCTGGGAAAGGGGGGACAAGAGAGGGCTCCTCAGGGCCCCCAGGGCTACCCGCTAGCCAAGGCAATAGCCGCTCCTGCCACCCAGCCCCGGTGAGGAGGGTGGCTGCCGCGTGCACCTCCCCTGGCTCTGGGAGAAGGCCAAGGGGTGACCGAAACGGACCTTTCTGCTCCCTTCCCCTTGGGACAGCCACCAGGAAACACAGGTCCTAGAGTCTGTTGAGCACCTGAGAGCCCAGGACCCTTCCCCCGTTTTAAGGGGGAAGTGGCATTTGGAGGGGGATGGACAGGCTGGGCAGCTCTGTCCCCACTCCCGCTATACCTTCCAGGGCCTGGGGGGGGGGGGTGTGGAGGAGATGAGCCATCTCTGACCCCTGACCCCAGCCAGAGGAGATGGAAGGTTCTGCATTGTGCCTCCTGTGTCTGGCTGGGACATTTGCCTTAAATGCTCCCTGTCCCATGGATAGGGCCTGGCACACAAGAAGCCACACACTCAGCCAATCGAGGTAGAGGCCCAGGGGTTGGTTCTCAGAGGGCCGGCAGCTGGCCACCCACCGTGGGCGGTGGGCGCAGAGGTGGATGATCCCACCTTCCCGCTGGGAGGGTGGCAGCCCCGTTGGTTCTGGCCTGTCCCAGGTGCCTGGCGGTGCCTGGGCTCTGGCCAGAGCACAGCCACCAGGCCCCGCACACGCTCCCTCCCTACCCGGTGGGGGCATGTGCAGGGTGTCGTGGAGAGGCCAAGGCCCCGCCCCCGGAGGCCCCTGCTCTGCAATAGCACTGACCAGTCAAAACTCACAGGAATGTAGCAGCGGTGGAATTACCTGGAATTGTCTCTTTTTTTTGAGGAGGGGAGGACTAGACAAACACACAGCTTTCTGTGTCAGGTGTTGGTCTGGATGGGGCAGCTGTGTGTTGGGGTGTTCTTTTTTTCTGTTTTTTGTTTTGTTTTTTAATGATGTTTACAATCTGCCTCAATCACGCTGTCTTTTATAAAAATTCCACCTCCAGTCCTCTCTCCTCCCCCCCCAACCCAGGCCTTCAAGGCTGTTAGGAGATGCTTGAAGAACTCAACGAAATACCAATCCAAGTCAAACTTTGCACATATTTATATTTATATTCAAAAAGAAACATTTCAGTAATTTATAATAAAGAGCACTATTTTTTAATGAAAAACCTGGCTGGAGCCTCTCTGCCGGCCCCTCTCTGCCTTGCTTTCTCTTTCACCCACACCCACACTCCACGCCGCCCGCCCGCCCGCCAGGGGAGGGGGGAGGCAGGCGCCACCCTCGGCAGCTCTGCCCCCTTGCTGCCCTGGCTTCTGGCTTCGCGTCACTTACAAGCTCTGGCAGCCACCTAGACTGTACCGAGAGGGTAATTCCTGCTAGTCTGATTCAGATCTGACCAGAATATGCAAAGCAAGTTCGAAGGAAGCGCTTCAAAGGGCTTGCAGGGAGTGAGCCGAGCTGTGGTCAAAGCTTTTAGAGGCTCCAAGCTATTAGAGGCGCTTGGCTCCTTGGCAGGGAGGTGTTCCGAGAAAGCCCAGACTACAGGGTCCTGGCGATGACCCGTGACCTCGTCATAGCTGGGTTCATGGGAGGTGGGGAGAGGGGTAGTCCCCAGGCGCTCCCCCGTGCAGGTGGGGCCCTCCCCAGGCGCACTGCCTCCCACCCGAGTCCTGGGAGCCCCCGTCTGAGCAGCAGGTGGGGGTCACAGACCTCCCACTGAGAGCACCTGTCTCTTCGTCTGTTCTAGTCACTCTCACCTCCTGGGCAATGGAGACCAGCACCTGGATGAACCTTCCCAGCCTCCCCCCCGAAGGCAGCTGTCATCACCCCCATATTCTCAGACCCAGCCGCACGTCCAGGGGAGCAGGGACTTAGCCTGGTCCCTTCCAATGCTCGATGCTCGAATGGTGCTCAGTGAATAGTAGTCAACTCAGTGGGGGCAGCCACTTGGGTTCACGGAGGTTAAGCAACCTGCCCAAGGACACACCATTTGGGAATGTGGGAAAGAGGACTGAATCCAGGAGCCTCTATTTCCAATTTCCAAAGTCCACGGACGCTCTGCCTCCCCAAGCACTAAGTATACGCCCCGGTTGCCCTTGGGTGGGTGCCCCCTGCAAAGACAAGGGGTTGGTACCACCCCACAGCCAATACTCTGGGGTGCCAGCATGGGGGTCCTGCTAAAAATAAGCAAAAAACCCCTTCTCTGTGGCATTTTCTGTCCACGCTTCATCCTGTTCCCTCCAAGTCAGGGGCTGAGTCCCGGTCTCTGAGCCTCAACTGTCTGCAACCAAGGCCAGGCCCCGGATATGCTCCAGGAATCAGTGTCCAAAAGGCAACTGAGAGTAAATAAAGTCATTTTTCTTTCCCACTTCCTGACCTTTGAGGAAAGTAACCTAAAGGGACGAAAAAGGGTCAGGCCAGGCGTGAGACCACTGAGTGGGCAGTGTACAGGAACCACACCAGAGAGACGACCCTCTGCAGCAGGGAATGCAGACCCTGATAAGGTCACCTTCCCAGAGAACATCCCCTCCCCCCTGCCCCCCACAGTGGGGCCTGGCTCCCCAGTGCCTCCCGGGAGGATGAGAGACCCTGGGAAAGTTCTGGCAGGTTCTTCCCCTGCCTTAGGGCCCACCAGTCAGCCACCATCTGCCTCCCAAAGCCCCTGGATCCTGGAGCGGAGCACAGCAAGTCCCCTTCTTGACCCAGGGGAAGCTGCTCAGCCAGGGTGTCTCGTGTTCATGGGACCCTAACAAAATGGAGTAGCCTTCTCTAGCCCCAGAGGAAGCTGCTCTCCCTGACCCCGGGCGGAACACAGGCTGGAAGCCCCCGACTCCCTTTCCGTGAGGCCTGCTCCAGCCTTCTTCCCTCATCTTACTCTGTCTCTCTCCACTTCCAGTCCATAGACCCAGCCAACCCTCTGGCTTTGCACACCAGGAAGCTGAGCGCCGGAGCCCCAGAGTCCCAGAGAAGGGAAGCAACTTGCTTCGGCTCCTGAGCAAGCTGGTGGCGACAGCAAAGCAAGAATCCCTCCCTTAGATCCTCTGCTAGGCAGGGCTCCTTCATGTCTCCCTCCTCCTCCTACCCTTCTGCAGCAAAAACCTCTCTGTACTTCCCAGTCCTTTCAGGGACACACGCCCCTCCTCCAAAGGACTTAATGGGGGCCCTCTGTCCTGACGCCAGAGGTGGGGTGCCCCTGGTTTGGAGATTTGCTGAGAACCATCCTGCAGGGCATGGGGACAATTCCCCTGTGGCTTCAGCAGGTATCCATGTCTCAGGGGCGTTAGTAACAGCACAGCTGGGGCCCCCTGGCCCAGGCCCGGCTGCTCCCAGGCCCTGTGCCCTAGCTGCGTTTGGCGCTGTAAGAATCCACCCCCACGAGGCCCAATCCTCTCTCCAGTGGAGCTGTTTGGGGTAGGCCTCCTGATGAGTTAGAGCCGGGAATGGGAACTATGAGGCCTGCTCCGGCGCGAGGGCTGGAGGGAGGCCCCAGACAGGGGAGCTGGAGATGGAAAATATGCCCCCACTAGTCTTAAGTAGTAAGGGTGTTTGGGAGGGCGGCGCCGCTGGGATACCCGGCAGAGAGGCGGGGAGAGACAGCAGGCCACACAGGGAGGCTAAGCGGAGAGAGAAGCCTTCGGTGGCGAGTTGGGGGCGGGGGGGCGGCAACGGGCACAGGAGCGAACCGGGAAGACCGAGGCCGAGGGTGGGAAGGGCCGAGGCCGGGGCGCACCTTCCCAAGTCGCGTCCCGCCCCCTCCCTTTGGGGCGGCCGCGTCGCTGCAAAGCCGCGCTCCGCCGGGAAGAGTCACTTCCTGGACACCGCGACAGCCCCGGCGGAGACGGACGAAGAGCGTCCACGCCGAGAACCGGCCAGGTCACCTCCCGGGCCCGAGCCGCCGCCGCCGCCGCCCAGCGGAGCGTGCGCGCAAAGCAGGCCCCGCCCCGCCAAGGCCCCGCCCCCCGCCCCGCCCCCGCGCCGCCGCAGAGCGCGGTCGCTATGGCGACGGGATTACGGGCGCAGAGGGCTGTTTATTCTCAGCCCAGTGCCAGGAAATTCGGCCGGGAGGCTGCCAGGCGCACCTCCCTGGGGTGGGGGGCGGGAGAGGGAGCAGAGAGGGTGGACTGGCGCGCCCGGGCTCCTGGGGGAAGGGCGTCCTTTGTCACCGGGGGTCCCTGACCCCTCTGAAACGGTGCTGCTCAGAGAGCACAGACTGTTCCCGGCCAGGAGCGGATCCAATTTTCTCGTCCCAGGGGAGCCAAGGTTCCCTCCAGGCCCGCAGAGGCCTCCCCTCCTCCCACCCCCACCCCCATCCAGTGACCCTGCTGTTGCAGCCCCCCAGCCCCCTGCCTCTCAGTCCGCCATCCAGCCATCCACTCGTCCCGGGTGGGTCAGGGGATGGAGTGTGGAACGAGACAAGGCCCCGCCCGCCCTGCCCTCCTGAGATCGAGTGTGAGTGACAGACAATAAACTAACAGTAACTCTATTAAAAACTGAGGACTGCCGAGAGGTGCATCTTCGAGTCACATTTCCAGTATATGGCTCACTGGCAGTTTCGTCCCACCCTCAGGTAGGATGACCGGGCTGTCCCAGTTCGCCCAGCCCTATCCCAGTGTAGACCTGAAAATCAGGACCAGTAATCACCCTGCCCTCCGGACAGAACACATCCATTCCAGAGGCAGAGAACCTGGGGCCTGGAATACCAGGCGGTCCTCCCGGGGTCCCGGCACTAGTTAGAGAGAGCCTGGAGGTCCTAGCTGAGAACGCAGCGCTCTTCAGGCTGTGAGCCCTTCTCTCCACCTGGATCCCCCTCCCGGCATGGCCCCGGGAGGCAGTGAGGCACCTGCAGACCCCCCGGGGAGTGGGTGAAATTACTGCAGCGGGGCTCCCCACCCCCACTCTTCTGAATCAGAAGCCCCGAGGACAGTTCAGGAATCTCAACACTTAGCAGCTCAAGATGAGATTCTGAGACCACGGCTGCCTTCGGGGAAGACAAGCCTGGGTCCTCCTCTCTTCCTCCTTGAACCCTGACTAAGCTGAGCTGGGAAATCAGCAGGGAGGGAAGGCCAGGGTCACCTCCCGGGCTGCAGCAAGTGCAGACAAGTGCAGCCCTTCCCTGTCCCGAGGATCGGGCCTGGGGGGGAGGACATGGCCCCTCCCCACCCCAGAGCTGAGCCCTCCCAGCTGTGCGGTGCTGGGAACAGGCCAGGCATTTGTGAAATCCTCGGGTGCGCCTGACCCACTGTCATGAGGCCTGCCTGTGGAAGCTGGCGCGGGGAGGGGGCGGGGGGGGGGCTGTTCCCAGAAGCAGGGAGAACTCTGGACTTCCCACTCCTGAGCGCTCCGATTGCAGCACGGCCTTAAGCAACAGGGGTGGCCTGGGAGGCTATGTGGCAGGGAGAATCGGAGCCCCCCCCCCCCGCCCCCACCCAGCTCCTTCTGTAAAGAAGCCAGGGCTCTGAATGCTCAAACTTCATGCAATCCCCGCGGATACCGTCACTAACGTTACTCATAGTGGCCATCGGGCCCAGCTGTAGAAAGGGGCTGGAAGCCTAGACTTTAAAAATAAGCAAATAAATAAACAAAGTTATATTCATAGGCAAACCCACACACAAACCCAGGAGGCAAGTTCGTTATTTACATTACACAAGAAAATGCATTTCCTCTCTTTCACCTCCCTTCCCCCAAATCTCAAATCTCCTTTTCATACAGAAAATGTTACTTAGGATATATAATGTACCAGATATTGAAGGTACAGACATGAACTAGGAGAACCTGGTGTGGGGGGAGGTGTGTGGCACAACCACAGGGGGCGCCATTCTGAATATAATCTTCAGGGTGCACGAGCAGCGCCTGGTGCTTGCCTTAGCGGCGCCCCGGCTGATACCCATAAAGATAGGACCCTGTTCTGGACACTGTGACCGGTGCTGAAGATCAGGGGACTTGAGGAAGCTTACAGTCTGAAAAGGGAACCAGACAAGAAAACCAAGAAGTATCCTAAAAAGGAATAGGTATAAAAATAAAGTGGTATACAGGGTACAGCGGCGGGGGGGGGGGGGGCGGGGGGGCGCGGAGGAAATGACCTACAGTGGCTTCCCAGAAGAGGTGCCTCTCTCGAGCGAAGGCGAAACAGCAGGTGTTCCCTTGGCAGGCATGGGACAGCGGGTCATTCTAATGACCAGAAACAGGGAAATGGCCCGGAAAAGGGAAAGAACTTTGG